TGTAAACAGAGTGGCGGCCGCTATCCCGTTCAGAGTGTGATTGTGTCTTATTTGACTAGTTAATTAAATGCTCTACGTTGAATTATAATTGTAAGTCACTAATTCCCATGTGTTAGTAGTGATCTGAAGAAAGTAGAGGATTGCGAATGTAGTTGATTAGTGTCGATTTATGGGTAGAATAGCCTTTTATGTTATTTTGGACTCGTATTGTTAATGTTTACAGTCATGTCCACGTATCGAGGGAAACGTTTTTTTTTTTTTTTTTGAGGCTCTTTCCTGTTGTTTTCAAAGTTTGAAAAATGGACGTAGGGTTTCTAAATCGCTTGTATTTCTATGACGCTGCTGCCATTTTTGCGCTGGAACCTTCCTTCCCCCTTTAATCTCCTATAAAAAAAAAAAATCTGTATTCGACGTGGTCTTCAAGAGAATAGATTTGGACAGCATGGTGCTCTCGTTTTGAACGTTTCCTTGATTAATATTGTGTGATTGTTGCATATCTATTACCATAGGTTATTAGGCTTGATTTCATTTCATAGTTAGTAACATGTGTAACATAGTACATGTATTGTGTAGTGAATAGTAGGTATAGTGTCAGTTTCACACTTTATGGTGCAAATTAACAAACTATGGCCTTTACTCTGCAAATTGATAATTAGAAAGTTGTGGATTACCCAACTAATACTAATACATACATACATGCATAGATACAGACATACATACATTCATATGTATATATGTATTATATGTGCGTGCATGTGTGAGTGTCTGCATGTGTGCGTGTATATATGTATTATATGTGCGTGCATGTGTGAGTGTCTGCATGTGTGAGTGTCTGCATGTGTGCGTGTGTGTATATATGTATGTATATGTTTTGTGTGTGTGTGTGTGTGTGTGTGTGTGTGTGTGTGTGTGTGTGTGTGTGTGTGTGTGTGTGTGTGTGTGTGTCTATATGAGTGTGAGTGAGTGTGTGTGTGCGTGTGCGTGTGTGTGTGCATGTGCGCATGCGCGTGTGCGTGTGCGTGTGCATGTGTGTGCGCATGCACATGTACACATGTAAATGTTTGAGAATTAGCTAGAGTTTAAAGTAATACATCCTCTCTTTCCAGATAAAAAATGAGTAGTGGTTTCATCAGTGAAAAAGATGTTGAAGAACATCGCCGTATTCGTCAGGAGAACTGGGCACAATCCCGTGGGGAGGATGACCCCCTAGAGGCCCCAGAACCCCCAGTCGACCACCGTTCACTCTACGACCGCCTTCAGGAACAACGGCAGAAGAAGCAGGATGAATATGATGAGGCTCACAAGTATGCAAAGTTATTCTTCTACATTTTTGGGGGGATTGAAGTATAATATGAGATATGTAAAAAGTATTTTGTTTGTTTGCATTTATTTGTTTGCATTTATTGCATATAGTAATTATTTTTTCTAAATATAACACAAATTATTACCTTTTGCTAACAAAGCTAATTTTTGCTGCACTGCAATCATGGTAATGTGTTATGGAAGATGTGTATGTATGTGCCATGGCCACTGTGAGTTACTTGTTTCATTGTTTTTACACATACATGGCTGCATTTGTACTAAGCCATCAATGAGTCCAGTTACGAGTACTGCCTGTCTTTACTTTACCCTTTTCTTTGCTTTACAAAAATATTTTATGTTATCTTATTTTGCTGTTACTAATATTTATAACATTATAGTAATTATAATGTTTATAATAAAAATAACACCATCAATATTCATAGCACTAGTAAAAAATACATTTTTCCCACGAATTCAAATCAGGTAAAGTCACAAGGTCTACTAATTGACTCCTTTGTGGCTAAGCACTAGCAGAGTCATCTGTGTGCAGACATTTCACAATAATATAGAAAATTAGCACAGCATTTTCCCCATCTTTTATTCATTTTCCCCTGTGGCATTGGGTTAACCATGTGGCTGGGAATTGCAGGATTTCATGATAAGGAAAATATTTGAGTATAAACTCAACTGCAAGGCAAAAGGGGATGGCCAAAAGGCAAACACAGAAAAACAAAAAAGAAAAAAAAAAGAAGTTAGCCAATCTAGCTCATGTAAACATCTAATTTGCAATGAACCTATCCCTGGGTCAGGTCCAGCTAACTGTTTAGAATACCACAACCAGTGATTTAAAGATGATGTGATAGCATATTGTGAAAACGGCTCATTTGGTATAAATAAAACTCAGCAGTGTATTGGCAAAACAGAATAGCATAATTGTTCTTAGATTTTGAATAAAAACATTCTTGTAAATACCAAAGCAGCACAGAAACATGTTTGTATTTAGAAGCCCCAAATAGCTTTGTTGAGGAACTTACATCACTAACAAAGCACACAGATAGTATCATCACATAAAAGATTTAGAATTCAAAATCCAATTTTGCAGATTCAAGAATATGGTCAGAGGGTTAGAGGACGATGAAGTGGACTTTCTGGAACTTGTCGACAGAAGCAAACTGCAAGAGGAGAAGAGAGTTCGCACAGAAGAAAACTCTGCAATGGAAGAGTACAGGTAAAGATGTGCTTTTCTAATACACCATATGTACTTCATTAAAAGTCCCACGGTAAAGTTAGGGACATAATTTCTGGGGAATAAAACAGATACAGTAATGCTGCTACTGTCTAAATGCTATGATCACAATGCCTGTTTATCATATGTTAATAAAGAGTATACCAGTTTATACCATAAAGACAGGAGCAATATTCCAGTAGTACAATATTATTAATCCAACAATAAGGTGGATTATGAGGATCTCATACTTTTAATCTCTCTCTCTCTCTCTCTCTCTCTCTCTCTCTCTCTCTCTCTCTCTCTCTCTCTCTCTCTCTCTCTCTCTCTCTCTCTCTCTCTCTCTCTCTCTCTCCCCCCTCTCTCCCTCTCTCCCTCTCTCTCCCTCTCTCTCCCTCTCTCCCTCTCTCCCTCTCTCCCTCTCTCCCTCTCTCCCTCTCTCCCTCTCTCCCTCTTTCCCTCCCTTCCTCCCTTCCTTCTCTCCCTCTCTCTGTATTGATTATATGTAATCATTGTAGCTATCTAGTTTAATCAAATAGCTTAGATTTTCAACTTAAAGGTTTAACTTTCTCTTCCTTTGACATACAGGAAAAAAGTCTCAGAAATGCAGAAACACGCAGCTGAGGAAGAGATCAGAGCAGAAATGAAGGCCGCAGAAGCACGCAAAAATGCCGGGGGGTCGAATAAGAAGACATCACACCTTTCTCTCTTAGCCGGAGCCATCAAGAGGAAGCCCAGCGACGACGGCAAAAATTTAGAGGAGCCCTCGGATTCCAAAAAGACAAAAATAGGCAAGTATAAAGCCCGGTTGGCAGGGCTTTAGAGTGACTGGGTCTTGATATTCTTAAGTATAATGCTTACATGCACACAAACCCTCACCCCATATATATATTCTGTTGTATATTGTATTATATTATGTTATATAGTGTTTAGAATCTGTGTATATGAGTTGTATAAGCCTGTGTAAAGGCCCTATCACACTAGGATTTTTTCCACCCAATTTTGCATTTCTGTAAAAACTTTCTTCATGCAAATGGCCTAACACTATGGGGATGGTAGAGAACCACCATTCCCATGTAAACAAAAAAGGACACCTATGTAAACAAAACTGTTTGGTCCCAGGAATCAATGGTGCATCCTCATATATATTACAATAATTTACAATAATATATTATGGCAAAGAGACTGCTGTATCATAAAAAGAAACATTCTTCAATGATGATAGGTTATGTTCACCCATAAATTCTTTTTTTATGTTTATAAGTAATAACAGTCTAGTAGTAGAAATCTTCTATACCACAAATTCAAGACTAAAATTACTCAAACAATCACATTTACAACCATATACATCTTGGAGGTATTTTACAAGCATGTGATCCATGTGGAAATGCAGGACTTGATGGCAAAAGTGATATTACAGTGGGGCTTTATGAAACCGGATGTATTGAAAGTAACCTGTGTCTTCATGTATCTTTTATAGCATCTCCCAAAGAGGATGCTTCCCCCAGTGAGGCCCCACCATCTGTCAAACCATCAGGTATTCAGTGTGTTGCGGTTCTGCCAGGCTTAGGAGTCTACACAGATTCAAGCGACTCTGACAACAACATCGACTCGGACAGCGACGAAGATGAGACGGCAAATGAACTACCTCAACAGCCAAGGGACATCACTGGCCGCATTGTGAAACCAGCCTCTCAGTGCAATGGACAGTCAAGTTGTTGATAGTTAACACAGGATGAGAGAGAGACTGCAGTGTATATCAAGTGGACTTCAACTTGCAGTTGTTGTAGGATGTCTTGTGATGAATCACTGTTTAATTTGTGTGAATCTTCATTAATGAATGTAGCTGTTTTATTTTTCTTGTTTGGGTTGACTGAGGATCTTTGAATTCTGTTCTTCATAATAATTTTATCATTTTGTGAAAAGGAGTTATGATAATTAAAATCAGACCACAGTGGCCACCTTTCTCATTCTTCAAGAACTAACCTTTCTCTTGCATCTCAAACCACGAGTATTACATGTCTGTGAATGCAACGAAAACTAGAAAATGATAATGCGGAGAAGTACTCTAGGATCAATATGTTTCAGCAGTAAAGGTAAGTAAATGTGTATATGTTATAAACTAGTGGATCTTAACCCACTGGATCCTGATGCTTCACTGCTATCATGTGGCCCAAAATAGGGCCATTAGGCTTACGTGAGCGGCCACTCTGACAGGTGTGCCCCTTGTAGGCCGGGCGAATGCAAACACTCGTGTGCGATGACAAGACTCTCTTTGCAATGTTGTTCTCTTTTTCTGCATAAGTGTTTTTATTTTTTATGTCTATAGCATATGATTTACTTTATCCAGATGTTTATATTATCTCTCTAGGTAGTCCATAACAATAAGTAACACTTTGTTATATGTGTCTTTTTTATTATTATTGTTATCATTATTCATAATATTCAATTTCAATATTCTGTACTACAACCTGCACTGCTGGTCATGGGCAGGAATAGGATCCTGAGCAGTGTCCTCCCTGTAGCTGGCACTCTCCCAGTCATGGCTCATGGACTGTACATTCCATAGTCATTTATTGTTGGAAATTATGCAAAAGCCCCTTCCGAAGCAGGAAATGGGTCCAATCGCCCCTCCAAGAAGTTTGTGCGCTTGTGGCTGGTCATTCCCGTCACCCGGCCTTCAGCTGAAATGCTCATGGCAGCAAGTTCATGTCATCCCAGCCCACAGCCAGAGTTCCCCATGACAGCATGTTCATGTCACAGGCCCCTCAAGCCAAATCTTTTTCTTGACATGATGGCCCCGTCATCTGGTTCGTTGGAGTTAAATTATTTTGTGAAATTTGCCAGTTCAGTCAATTCCCCCATTTTAGCTTCTCCCTTCATGTGATCAAGGAGGAGAAGGAGAAGGAGGAGAACGAGAACGAGAAGGATAAGAAGGAGAAGAAGAAGAAGAAGAAATCAAGAAAAAGAAAAAAAGTTGCTAAAATGCAGCTTGAAAAGCAAGACTTGTGCAGCTAGGTGACTACAGTCGGCAGTCATCCCTTGTTTTTCATATAATTGCAGAAAAGTCTGTCACCATCGATTTCATCTCTGTTGCTTAATATTTTGATTAATTTATATCCCCCCCCAAAAAAAAAGATAAAAAGAAAAATATTGGCTCCTGAAACAAGAATAACTTGTACAGCGACATTTGTTTGGTTGTGCTCATTTTCATTTCCCTTCATAGTCATTTCAGGTTTAATGGATTCCAACTAAGCCAGGAATCCAGTGGCTTTTTGGATGAATTGTAGAAAAAGGTATCAGGGAGAATTAATAATAATTAATAATAATAATTTAGTTATATTCCATTTGTTACAATGATTATTCTTGGTGCAACAGACTTTGTGTTTCATTCTGCTTCCAAATTAACCCCCCCCCCCCCTCTGTGTGCAAGGTGAGGGGAATTGAACGTGGGTCAGTCAGATTGCCAGACGAGATTGCTACCATTGCACCACACAGCACAAAGAGTGACTGGAAATTATCTTGAGACACTTTGGCAACGAAAGCAAATTATACCAAAGTAGGATTGAGCTATTCTTGTTAGTTGTGGTTAGTGAATTGTAGATGGAACAAAAAAAAATGGATAAAGAAATTCATTCTTGTAATTGGGAGCATTGACCGTGATTGTACGAGAGTATATACGCACATGTATGCTGCCAAATGTGTACGTCAGAAGTTGATTAATTATTTCCAGGTACAGTAAGTCCCCAACTTAAGAACATAATGGGGACCGAGAGGCTGTTTGTAAGTTGATTTGTTTGTATGTCGAAAGTCGGGTCTCCATTACCTTTTTCCCATTGTTTTAAAGTTTTGTTTACATTAAGAATACCTGTAAATAAATCTCAGTAAGTATGACATACCTTATACAGTACCAGACTCTTGAACTATATTCGCGCCCAGGAAACTTGAAGTTTGCTAGCATCTCTCAAACAATTTTTTTGACTTTAGTACTTAAAAAATTTTGTTTGTATGTATGGAATGTTCATAAGTAGAATGTTCTTAAGTAGGGGACCATCTATATCCTATTAAAGTTAACCTGTTCACAACTACTAAGATTTGGTGGTAATGTGATGAATTAATTGTACAACAGTATTGATCAGAAGCACTTATTTTCTAGGCTGATATTTTTTATTATTTTTTATTAACATTTTCAATGCTATCTTCCTCTACCATTTGTTCATACCCTCATGAACTTCCGTAACTTCAGCTTTCTGATTTCCCAGCAGTATTTAATGCTGGCCAGTATTATTTCCAAAGATGAAAAAGTTGCAGGAGGACCAGAAATTGCAGCCTCCAGTTTACTATCTCAAGTTAACATAAAACAGCATCATTGTCATTAAGATCACATAAAATCCATACATAGTGATGCACCGTTCTCTAGCCTTCACTTTACTTTATCAAATAAGATCACGATATCCATTTAAATGATACTGATGTTGAATATCTAACTTAACCAGCCCAAAATGGCAAATATGGAACTGCTGTCGAAAACATATTGTTTTCCTGGACTAGACAAAGACAAAGTAATTAAATAGGACTTTTCAAATGGGCAAGAAAAAACCTGCTTAAACATATTTGTACAAAATTAATCCCCATAGTAACTAAGACCATTAGTAGTGTAGTAGGGATAGTGCTAATATTTTTCAGATTAATATGGCGATGAAGTGGTATGAATTAGCAACCTGTTTCCTCTTTGACTCTAGAGGAAGTGTCTAATTGGCAAAATCATCCATAAAGCTTGAAAACTAACCAAAATTTATATATTGTTCAAATGATAATGAGAATGAAAGTTATTTCATTAACTGGAAACTGAATAATGGATGTATAATTACCAGTGATAATTATTACTTCTAAATCAAATCAAGCATTGTGCTTACTAAGGACAATTATTGAGTAAAGTTATTGAGTTTAGGCAATTTCCATCAGTATAAATAAATGATCTTAAATGTGAATAAAAACAGCAGTACAGTTTGAATATGTATATCTCTTTCTTTCCATCTTTCTACCTTTTTCTTTGTCTGTCTGTCTGATCTGTCTTTCTGCATGTCTGTCTCTAAATATTTTTCTTTCTCTTTAGTTATATTAAATACAGACCAACAAAAGGTGTTGTCCTATTATGGGCAAGTTCTCTTCTACTTTTCAGTTCAGTAACAGGAAATAATCAGGCACCTATTATTCAAAAAAGGATTTATTGTTTTTGTTTTTTTAATGAGCTTTTTGGGTTTGGAAGCCAAAGGTTTATTTATCTGTCCGTCTGTCTAAAATATTGCACAGATATTACTTCCATAGGCATTTACTCAGGTTTATGTGAAAAAATATGAACATTGGGAATATATTTACAATCTTATGAACTTTTTTTTTTTACTCTCTTGGAACACAGACTCATGCTACAATCAGTCAAAAGTATTATCTTCAAATTTAAGAAAGTGTGTAGTTGTCCTATAGTTTTTTCTTTTTTTCATATACAGTCATAATGTAGGACAAACAAAACTAATATTCATTCTTTATTAAATAAATAAAACATTCAAATATCAGTTATTACAATGGCAGTGTCTTCTTACACCTGAGAGAATAATTAAGTGTTAAAGTGTCCCCTTAAAAGACAACCAGGTTCAGACTGGCTCAGAATGGTGAGGTTTCTCGTAAATGCAGAAACTTGTACACAGAACCAGCAGCATAAACTTTGTGCCTAGACATTAATTGTGTTGATTACTCTTAATATCCAATGGTAAATGAACTAGATATAGCACCTGCAAGCATTGTTCAGTAAGTTCAATATGCCTGCATTGCATGACTATACTTCTGCAGGATTAAATGGTAAATGTGTTTGAGACTACAACAAATGGGCCATTATCCCTAACATGATTTATGGATGTATTAATTACCAGTGATAATTATTACTTCTAAATCAAATCAAGCAATGTGCTTACTAAGGACAATTATTAAGTAAAGTTATTGAGTTTAGGCAATTTCCATCAGTATAAATAAATGATCTTAAATGTGAATAAAAACAGCAGTACAGTTTGAATATGTATATCTCTTTCTTTCCATCTTTCTACCTTTTTCTTTGTCTGTCTGTCTGATCTGTCTTTCTGCATGTCTGTCTCTAAATATTTTCTTTCTCTTTAGTTATATTTAATACAGACCAACAAAAGGTGTTGTCCTATTATGGGCAAGTTCTCTTCTACTTTTCAGTTCAGTAACAGGAAATAATCAGGCACCTATTATTCAAAAAAGGATTTATTGTTTTTGTTTTTTTAATGAGCTTTTTGGGTTTGGAAGCCAAAGGTTTATTTATCTGTCCGTCTGTCTAAAATATTGCACAGATATTACTTCCATAGGCATTTACTCAGGTTTATGTGAAAAAATATGAACATTGGGAATATATTTACAATCTTATGAACTTTTTTTTTTTTTACTCTCTTGGAACACAGACTCATGCTACAATCAGTCAAAAGTATTATCTTCAAATTTAAGAAAGTGTGTAGTTGTCCTATAGTTTTTTCTTTTTTTCATATACAGTCATAATGTAGGACAAACAAAACTAATATTCATTCTTTATTAAATAAATAAAACATTCAAATATCAGTTATTACAATGGCAGTGTCTTCTTACACCTGAGAGAATAATTAAGTGTTAAAGTGTCCCCTTAAAAGACAACCAGGTTCAGACTGGCTCAGAATGGTGAGGTTTCTCGTAAATGCAGAAACTTGTACACAGAACCAGCAGCATAAACTTTGTGCCTAGACATTAATTGTGTTGATTACTCTTAATATCCAATGGTAAATGAACTAGATATAGCACCTGCAAGCATTGTTCAGTAAGTTCAATATGCCTGCATTGCATGACTATACTTCTGCAGGATTAAATGGTAAATGTGTTTGAGACTACAACAAATGGGCCATTATCCCTAACATG